TCACTGTCATCTTCTTCATCTCCAGCACCACCACCATCATCATCACTATCCTCTTCTTCATCGCCACCACCATCATCGTTTCCATTCAGAAAGGATCAGCCCTCCCACGGGCTTGCAATAAGCATAGCGCATCAAGTTGAGACAGAACCAAGCTTCTCCCCTTATATCTAGGTGGGATGAGGTAATCTGGCGTGGGAAACAGGTTACCAAAAGACAGCTAAGTGCCAGGGAGAGATCCTGATCTCACTGTTAGACTTACTAGAGACCTAGCTACACGATTGTCACACACATTCAGAGGGCTAGGCCAGTCCCATGCAGTCTCCCTAACTGTTGGTCCAGTGTCCATGAGCTCCCTCCCACAAGCTCAGGTCAACTGTCTCTGTGGGTGGGTTCCCCCATCATGACCCCCCCCCGTTTGATACAATCCCTCCTCCCCTTTCTTCAGCAACTCTGGGAGCTCAGCACAGTGCTTGTCTGTGGGTCTCTGGAATGCAGCCTTTTAAAGCATGCCAGAGAAACAGAAGCTGGCTACCCTTAAACATAAATCCTTGCCTTGTGTGTGACCCTACAAAAGCTGGGTGCAGAGGACAGGGTCCATGTAGAGTGTCACGATGCCTCAAAATATCCCAAGAGTAAAAAAGAAAATGTGGGAAGATCCAAGGGGTCCAGACCGCATCCCGGGGCCTCTCTAAGGTGATGGGGACCCAGATCCACATCCCGGGGCCTCTCTAAGGTGATGGGGACCCAGATCCACATCCCGGGGCCTCTCTAAGGTGGTGGGGACCCAGATCCACATCCCGGGGCCTCTCTAAGGTGATGGGAGCCCAGATCCACATCCCGGGGCCTCTCTAAGGTGGTGGGGGCCCAGATCCACATCCCGGGGCCTCTCTAACTGGCTCTCTCCTCTTGGACTTGAAGGTACTTTGATCTGTTGTCCAAACTCCCTGAGGATCTGAAGAACTTCCGGCCTGCAAAAAAGGTCCTGACCAAACTGCAGAAGTTTGGAGAGAACCTAGACCTGAGGATCCGGCCGCATGTCCTCCTGAAGGTACTCCAGGACCTGCGGATCTGGGAGCTGTGCTCTCCAGACATTGCGGTGGCCATCGAGGTAATAACCATTGCCCCTTTCCTCCCAGTGCCTCAGCTGCCTTCCTTCAGGCATCTTCCAACATCCAGGCATTGCTTAAGTGCAGTGAACCCAGCCATCCTGAAATACAGAGACTCTGCCATCCGCGAGCTCTGCTCTGTCTGGTTGGAGAGAGAGAATGTCATGCACACCTGGTGGCTCAGCTTCAGCTTCCAGGGTCAATAGAGCCTATGTTAGCAGTTCTCCCTGGAGACTAGGAGGTTAGGAGGGGATGCAAGTGGGTTAGTCATCGAAATGAGCTTTTCAAAGTGTGCTTCTGAAACTGCAGGTGGTTCCTGGGCCAGCAGTGTGGCCCTCGCTGGGTGCCCCAGGCCATCAGTGTGGCCCTCGCTGGGTGCCCCCAGCCAGGAGTGTGGCCCTTTTCTGGGTGCCCCAGACCAGCAGTGTGGCCCTCACTGGGTGTCCCAGACCAGCAGTGTGGCCCTCGCTGGGTGCCCCCGGCCAGCAGTGTGGCCCTCGCTGGGTGCCCCTGGTCAGCAGTGTGGCCCTCGCTGGGTGCCCCTGGTCAGCAGTGTGGCCCTCGCTGGGTGCCCCTGGCCAGCAGTGTGACCCTCGCTGGGTGCCCCGGGCCAGCAGTGTGGCCCTCGCTGGGTGCCCCAGGCCAGCAGTGTGGCCCTCGCTGGGTGCCCCCGGCCAGCAGTGTAGCCCTCGCTGGGTGTTTGCGGGGAATGAGAAACCTCAGACACCAGACCAAATTTGCCAACACAGAATTGACATGTTAATGAGGTGATACTGAGGAAATCTGGTTTAAATTATGGAAGACTTCGCTAACCAGAGCAAATGGGAAAGGTTAGGTTTAATCTTGGACTTGAACATTGAGAAGTCAGAATCGTGAAGAGAAGGCAAATGAGCAGAGTGAGGAGAAGACGGCACATGTAACATCTCCCCAGCAAGACACGGCCTGACTTGTTGGAGAGATGCATTGTAAGTCATTGGGTGTGGCAGAAAGTGATCAAGGAGGTGACGCCTCAGCCTGAGAAGACCTGTGAAGGTCAAGGGAGAGCTTCAGGGCTCTTTTCAAGGGTAGAAGCGTTCCCATCACCACCATCCCTGAAGGCACAGGACATCTAACACAACAGCGGTAGGATGCCAAAGAAAGGTTAAAGATGCTTATAGAGCCAGAGGTGGTCCAGGTCTGTAATCCCAGCTGCTCTGGAGGCTGGCAGAAGGATGACAATTCTAGTGCCTGCCTGGGCTACAGGCGAGCCCAAGGTCATCCCTGACAGTTTAGCCATATCTGTCATGGCGTTTCATTTGTATTTTAATGAATAAAGC